GCCAGTAAACCCCCCAGCATGTTATCCTATGTGTCCATGCACACATAGACTGTAATCAAAGTTTTTCGGCAGGGACATTTTTTGGCTGGAGAAAAAACCCCAGGACTAGTGGGTTTCTATAGGAGTTTTTTAGCTGTAAAAATGCTCTAACGCTGAAAAACGCGGCATAACACCGTAAACCACGGTATATCAGCATTTTTGGAAATGTTTTGCTAAAAAAACCCAAATAAAAGACCCGCAAATGTGAAAAAACGTGGCAAAACACCGCTAAATGCTAATACAAAAATGCTAAAAAATGCTGAAAAACGTACGTTTTTAACGTGACTTTACACAGCTAATGTTACCGGCGTTGTTAAAACGCCCCGTGTGTATGCAGCTTAAAAGTTGAAACTGGAGCATTTGGGACAACCCTCATAAACACATGACTGCATGCAGATAGATCTTTTTCAAAGCCATAGTTTTAACCACTAAGCCACCTGGCTTTGCAGGTTTCCTAATAAGTAAAGATTTTTCCAGGCCATAACTAAGGAATAGAACCTTTAAATTTGTGCCTGTACTTACTCTTTGTTTAAGCCAAAAAAAGTGTTCTTTTGCTTCTGTATTTATTTTGTTCATTTACTAACCACCAAAACTTCTTTATTGAGATCACTGAATAACTGATATCAGTACTGTTCTTTAGAGCTTGCAATCTAATGCAGGATTGAAAACACTACTTTATATAATTAAAATAATTTTGTTTATTCATATGCATCTATCTCTGTTAAAAATATCAATCCTTAATTTTGATTATCCCGCTCATCCCAAAAAACAGTCATATAGGACCAACCACCTCGTATTTCCCCACTCCACCTATTAGTGGATTTATATGTGAGTACAATTATACAGCATGTTTTATAGAAATCATGCTTTATGTTTGTCATTTTGCTCATTGGTATTATTATTATTTTGAATACCTCTATATTAAGAGATTATTCTATTCTATTCTGGTTTGGTTTCTCGTAATGACAGCACCACAGTGTTTCCTGAAGAAGCTATCTTGCAATACACAACTCCCACCTTCAATCAGCATAAACACAATCATCATTAAGTTATTTATGTGTGGGTTGTCTCACTATAATAATATTTAGGTGTCTTAATATGCTGGTAAGTGTGTTGGATAAATATGAGATGTTTTGTCATATACTGTATGACTATTTATTAGCAGGAGTGAGATAATCAACATTAAGGATTTATTTTATAATGCTATGTTTTTAACAGAGATATATATGTGAGTAAAGAATATAAAGTAGTGTTTCCATTCTTCAGTGGCTGTGGCTCCTAGAAAGTCATGTTTTATGTCTTCCTTTTGGCTATAAAAAAGTGTATCTAAAGCCCAAACTTTTTTTTTTTATGTTTATTGCTGTCTGGCTTTGGAGGTCTGCCCTCTATGTGTGTTGGTGACCAAAAGTTTGAGTTGTGAACTTACTTTAATTTGAAGAGATTTCCTCCTAGGCAGGTATACATTTATCCTTTTTTTATGTTCTATCAGAGGGTTAAACAAAAAAAGTGCAGATTCCTCCATCCACACATGCAGGGTAGATGAGAGAATCACTCCCGCAGTGCCATTGTGCTCTGAATGATGTTGTACAGGAGTCGATAAATAGATTATTATTATTATTATTATTATTATATTATACAGTATTTATATAGCGCCAAAGGGTTTGCTCAGCACTGTACAGTAGCAAGGGGGACATAACATGAGACAAGACAGTAACAATACACTACACGAGGGGTTCGAGGGCCCTGCTCTTTCGAACTTACAATCTAGATCTACTTCTTTACAACTAGTGTAAAATTCTTCCAGTCCTTACTGAACTGGCTGAATTTCAATCCATGTAATGCCGGCTTTACTTCTCTTTGTGTCTTGTGGAACTTTAGTCAGAAAAGTATATCCTGCTAGATCACTTCAGGCTGGCCCATTTTGCCAAGTAAAACATTAAAAGTGCCTATACTATTTAAAATCCAGTAATACACTTTCTCACCCTGCCCTGCACATGCTCAATTGCACTCTGTTTTTTGGCACTGTGCCAAAAATGTAGTGGCTGATCTGCTGACTGCCAAAAGATTTACTGTTGCTCAGGGACTCTCGGCTTCAGCAAAATGGCAGCCTCCAGCAAGAAGAAACAGGAACAACGCTGGAGGCAATTTACAGCACGCACTAATTTTGGTAGCATAATTATTAATGTGGACTCACCGGCCCCTTGCTAGTGCCAAGAAAATCTCCCCTATGCCATTACAACACCACCGGCAGCCATTCAGGCAGGATGGATCCATGCTTTCATGTTGTTTATGCCAAATTCTGACCCTACCATCTGAATGTCACAACAACCGGTCTGTCCATTTTTCTTTTACCTCTGACATCAACAAGTCATTTTTGTCCACACAACTGCCAATCACTGGCTATTTTCTCTTTTTCTGCCCAGTAAACCCTAGAGATAGTTGTGCACAAATATCCCAGTGGATCAGCAGTTTCTAAATACTCAGACCAGCCCGTCTGGCACCAACAACATGCCACATTCAAAGTCACTTAAATCCCTTATCTTCCCCATTGTGATGCTCAGTTTGAACTTCAGCAAGTTGTCTTCACCACGTCTACATGCCTAAATGCATTGAGTTGCTGCCATATGATTAGCTGATTAGTAATTTGTGTTACCAAGCAATTTAAACAGGTGTACCTAATAAAGTGGCCTTTGAGTGTATGTTCCTTGCTAAAGAATATTATTTTTAATCAAGTTGTTATGGGTAAAGTTCAGCTTTAAGGACAGGAAGTAAAGAGAAGTCTACCCAATGGGACACAGATGGAAAAAAAGCAAAGTTTTTAACTAGTTCCTACTCTATCCAAATGTTGACTTCAGATATACTTTAAAAAGAAATTGTTATTAGGATAATATACCCTAATAAGAATGTTGCTTTCAAATACATGTATGAGCGCCATCTCCATTGAACAAAATCTTCACTATTTTGTTTAGCTAGAAGCACCATTGAAATCTTTAGCATCCAACACGACTGGGTGTGTTGGATGCCTGCGTCTCACCACTGTCCCTCCCAATCCACTCTGTCTCTAATGTGTCCTGCAGCCCTAAAGAGATACATGTTATTTAAAGCTGTAATAAACCCCAAAACAAAAATGTATTATATTGCAGCTTACCAATCATTAGATGTGGTGGCTGCATCAGTTTTCTTTTCTTTGGCTTTTTTACCTCTCTGCTTTCTCCTGGTGATCTGATCAGTAACACACCTCCTGTATTAGTGAGACACCACTCTGGAGGAATTAGTGCAGGACACAGCAGACAGCAGCATTGTCAGTCTGGGGGGGATGGGAGTATTAAATGTGTTAGCATATTTGAATACAAATAAATTGAAGCCAAATTCCAGCTAACACTTCATAATCAGTTACAGCAAACATTTTTTTTTCCTTTTGGGATAAAGGTTTTACATGAATAAATAAAAGCTGATCATTTTAATCATCCATGCAAGTGGTAAATGGATTGTCTCATCCATGTAAGCCGATACATGCTGCTGGAAAGCTTGAACTTCTGAAAAACAGCTAACTGAATCACTCAATGAGACCAGAAGAACGAAAGCCAAAAAAAGGAAACAAATGCAGCCATCACATCAAGAATTGGTAAACTGCACAATAATAAGTGTTTGCTTTTGGGTTTAATACTGCTTTAAGCTCTGCAAAGGAGCAAAGATTCCAATTAGCGGAAACATGTTCTTTAAACACAACTAATGTGTTTTGTTTTAAATATCTAGCATCAGTCAGAATAGTCAAAAGTGGCTAACCAGATCACTGTAAGAATGACTAGGCAGAAGCATGCATTTTGTAACAGAATATTACAGATCAACTCCTAGCGCTTTGACTGTCGGTTCTGCTTTCGCTACTCTGAAACTCATATCTGTCAGTTTCTATTTTTTCCACATTCTTGCTCTTTCACTGTACAGAAGAATTACCTGCTTTGAACATCTTTCAAGCTGCGGTGGATTAAAGAGGTTTTCAAGTATACCTGTAGATCTCTGCAGCCTCCTACTGCGCCTCTTGATAATTAAAAGATATGAGTTCCATATGGTGTAGAATACACGTTTTAATGCTGTTCATTTGCTCTAGTGAAGCTCCCCATGGAGTTTACATTTGTCCTGCATGTTGGTGGACAGGCAACACAAGCAAAGCATTGTCTCATGCTTTAATCAGAGATTTTATCAGCGGAAATACCTCACTAGTCAATGGTACCTCCCCTATATAAGTAATAGATCAGTATCGGTATTGCAGGACATGTGCTTTAGAGCATAACACATCGGGTACCAAATGGATGGTTTCAAGATTTCTGATGTGTACTTATATCTCCTTTACAGTTCAATTTCCCGAACTAAAGAAAAGGAAATTTATGCTACACATGGCTGCAACAGTTTGCAGGTTTTCACAGTTGCCAGGAATCCTTTATGTTTGATCCCAGTAGACAACAAGTGTAGAGCTAAGAAGCTGTGCCCACTACTGTTGGCTATGAGGCTGCCAGCCCTAGTGATGCAAGCTGTGCCTTTGACCAGATCCTGTATTTGTAAGAGAGATAAGAAAGCCAAAATGCAAATTCTGAACAATTTGGAAGGGTTAGAACCTTTGGCAGGTTTTTATTGCTGTCACTATGACAACTAGTGAAGGGGAATCAAAAATACTACTGGAGTCTCCAAAGTAGAAGGGTAACCTTCCAACTGGGACAGCCATCCAAGTCAACACTATGCATGGTAGGATTTACTCTCAATATGGGGTGGATTCTCACTCACTTCCTTTTGTGTCTCCAGGGACATGAAATACAGGGAAACCTCCCCAGTGGGCACACAGCCATTAATAAAAAAAAAAACAAAAGTGTTTCTAACCATTCCACAATCTATTCAAAACAAAACAAATTGTGATACACTTTAGATAATGATGGGTTCAAACCAGTAGCCCTTCCTTGATAACTTACCTTTAATGATATAGCTGGTCTTGGGATCATTGCTCTGAGCTACTTGCACCTCTGTCTTGGCTCCACCAGGCTGGGCAGCATACGTTAGTTTGAAGTAGTCTGCTCTAACATCTGGATTCTCCCACTCCACTTCCAAAGAGTCCTCTTTCTCTTCTGTCACCCACAGGGTTCCTAGCTGGGCATCACCTGTAAAACATAACAAAACGTCAAACACTGCAAACAGGAGCATGAATTTCATGACAGGGTATTTGTGGGTCTATAACTTTGCATTATCTGCAGGTGCACTATGAGCAGGGTTTCTCAACCAGGGTTCCTCCAGAGGTTGCTAGAGGTTCCTTGAGCAATGAGCGCTTTCTTCCTCTCAGGTAAGTTCCCACTGACACCATTGATCCTTTTAGTTATCTGTGGGGGAAATTCTTCCCAGTGACCACAAGTGTAAGGAGCATTCTTTCCACTGACCATCATACTAAGGTATCATAAGATGTAAATATAATAATTTTTAGCAGTTTCCCGGAGACCTGAAAGTTTTTTTCAAGGGTTCATCTGTGTTGAAAAGGTTGAGAAACACCAACTCTGAGGAACAAGAGGCATTAATTAGTTCATAGTGTAAGTCTGCAGTTGCCTTTGTATTCTACGTTAGAAATATACCTCCATTAGCATTCATCAATTATATATACAGATAGGCAAACTGATCCACAGGTCAGGTAAATTCCCATTAGGCTTGGAATTATACAATAAATAAATCAAGACCACTTGAGTTCATATATTCTACACTGATTAGGCAGATCTCCATGCACATATACAGGTGAAAGAGGGTCCAAACTATGTCTACACAACCCTCTATAGTGTCTGACCCATCTTTACCTGTTCTGCCTTGAATTTCAGCAGGCTCGCTGGTCACACTGTTCTTCACCTGATACATAAGTATCTTGTATAACGTGCTGGGGTTCAGACCTCCGATCTGGTAATAGTCCTGGTTAGCAGCAACTTTAATTTGCCTTTTCTGACTTTCATCGTCAAACGGATAATAAGTGATGTAGTAGAAATCCACTTCCACCAGCTGGTCCCAGGCAATGTTAAGAGAATCCTCTGTGGTGCTCACAAGACGCAAATTCTGCACAGCCAACACTGAAAAAAGAAAAGTTAGCATTAGCTAATTTAGTTAATGTTCTCTTTCCACATTTTTCATTTTCTATACCTTCCACCATGCATGCATTTTTCACCTTTCATAGAGTGCTTCAGAAAACGTAATGCTTGAGCTGAGCAGAATTAAGATTAATGTATTTCAACATAATTGTAGGGCTGCAGACAGGCAGATGTTTCAAAGGTAACAAAAGGTGAGACATTTGCCAGTCTTTGAATAGCTGGCTGTAATCTTCTTAATTAATAGATGAGTGCATTACATGTCGGAAAAGAACATTTGGCTATCGGTCCTCAAATTCATTTTTCGATAGGCTTTAATGTGTAACAGTTTCTAATTCCTTGTCTATAAAACATTGCTCACCGTCTGAACAAGATTCTCCAAAAAATCCCTCCTCGCAGAAGCACTGGCCACCATCGCAGCGTCCATTTTCACCACAGTTGACGAGGCAGTCCTCCTCTTGGCAGGTAAGTCCTACCCAACCCGGATTGCACACGCAGACACCATTAACACATTTGCCATTTTCCCCACATGGCGGGATGCAGATCTTCTGAGAACAGTCCGGTCCTTCCCAGCCAGCATCACAGACACATGTACCACTAGCCAAGTCATATTTGCCTTTCCCACTGCAAAGGCTAGCAATTTCTAAGAAAAGTAATAACATAAACCAGTTATGACTAGTATATTGGTTGGAGATTGATCACTGTTCATTCTAATCTATATTCAAAAGAATGCATGCATGTACATAGGTAAAGTGAGTACTACTTAGCCATACAGCTTTTGATGTTCATAAATATATACAAGAAGGTAGTATGTAGAATAGAGCAAAAAGCAAAACTTTTACTTTAAGTGAAGTTATGCTTTTAAGTGTTAGTTCACCTTTACAGAAAAAAAGTGTAAAAGTGAACTAACACCTCTCCACCCCCTGGTCCCTGTTGTACTTATCTCCGGTAATGTTGAGCGGTCAGGGCTCACACCGACAGTCCAGGGATTTGAAATTCCCACTCTTCTCCCTCTTCTTTACAGATTGCTTCTGGAATAGATCACAGCAATGCTCTGTGACGGTGCTGACCAATCAGAATTGTTCTGATCCATACTAGATGCACAATCCACAGAGAAGACGGAGAAGATCAGGGATTTCAAATCCCTGGATCAAACATGGTATTTAACACCTTTGTTGCCACCAATGCAGGGCTTACACTGGCAGCATCAGGGGTCTTGTACAGCTGCAGTGGAGTGCAGAGGTAACATTAAGGGTCTAATAATCCCCTAATGTCTTTGTAAAGAGGACTTGTCATCAGCAATATGCTATTGCTTACAGGCTTCTATACTTCTATGGAACTCTACTCACCTCCACTTTAGCTATTCAATGTCCACAATCAACCTTACCAGCTACTGAACTCTCTGTCCAGTCTTTCTTGCGAGTTTTGATCTTCACCCTTTTTGATTGGCTGGGCCAGGATGACATCAATCCTGTGCATTCGCTGGAATTCATTCTTCACTACAGATACCAAAACTTTACAGTGAGCAGCAGGTGGGTTTCTGTGTTCAGAAAATATATAATGCTTGGGAGCTTTAACTATTCTTCAGCCTAAATTATGCAGGGTTAAACACAGGCCATACACAGTACAATCTTTTCTGTTCAGCCAGCCGGCTTAATGAAAAATCTGTACTGATCCCCCCGTCCACAAGTTCAAGTTGGAGGTGGGAATCCTCCCCACTGTGTCATTGTATTCGGACAAAGGGACTTCCCCGCTGTTAGAATACACTGATCAGCCCTGCAGCCCATTGGCTGCATGTGCAGTTCAGGTGCAAATTTTCCAGCAGGACTGTTCATGAGAAATCAATCAACACAAAGGAAATGGACATACATGGATTGAAATTCAGCTGGTTCCTGCTGAGCTGGCCGCATTTTGGTGCATGTATGGCCAAGGATGTGCGTATTTTCAATGTTGCCCTTTAAGTGGTATGAAAAGTCTCCTTGTTTATGATCCAGTAGAGCTATTCCCATACACAACCAATGCAGCTACCTTGTCTCTTCTACAGAAAACCTCATGTAAAAAATGTCAGTTCAAAGAAGTTCTTTCCTACAACTAATCAGATTGAAGCATGCCACTGCAGTGCATTGAAAAGACTAAAGTAATCTGAGCCAACCAACTTTCTGATTGAAGCACATGCTAGATAGCATTGCTAGCTCACTGACTGGTTTCCTTTTTGCCATGGAATTGTTCTTTACTAATTCAACTTTATGGTCCACAAAAATGAACAGACCTGCATTACAATGGCATAACCTAATACAAAAAAAACTTGTTGTTGCTAAATGCGGACAAAAGTAACTACAAAACAAATTCCATGAAGATGCTTACAAATACACCTACGCAGAACCAGAAAAGATTAATTATGCAAATATATGCATCATTTACATCAGGAAAATCAAAACCAAACCTTGCGTTTTTGTTCACAAAAAAAAAAAAAAAAAAATATCAGATGCTCAGGCAGAAACGTTTAATCAGAAGTTATAAAGCAGCAGAACCTGCTGGTATTTCGCTGTATGACACTGCAGACATCTGGAGATGGTAAAATCAGGACCTATTTCAGTTTTGAGAGGCTCTACACTTTAAATGGACTTTCTAATTTTTTTTTTCATTTTAGTTCAAACTTTTTTTTCTTTTAGGTATATTTCTAGTGAGTAAGTTTAAGGAATTTTCATTGCTTTGTTTTACATGTTTATAGGGTAGCAATTATAGTCCAGACCACTCCAGAAAGACAGAGCTCTGGCCTATTTTAATTTGCAATGCCTTTAAAATGTATTCATACCCTTTGAAATTTTCCACATTTTGTCATGTTACAACCAAAAACGTAAATGTATTTTATTGGGATTTTATGTACTAGACCAACACAACGTGACACATAATTGTTAAGTGCAAGGAAAAGGAAAATGAAAAATGTTTTTCAACATTTTTTACAAATAAATATCTGAAAAGTGTGGCGTGCATTTGTATTCAGCCCCCTTTACTCTGATACCCCTAACTAAAATCTAATGGACCCAATTGCCTTCAGAAGTCACCTAATTAGTAAATCCAGAGCCCGCCTGTGTGTAATTTAATCTCAGTATAAATACAGCTGTTCTGTGACGCCCTCAGAAGTTTGTTAGAGAACATTAGTGAACAAACAGCATCATGGAGGTAAAGGAACACACCAGATAGGTCAGGGATAAAGTTGTGGAGTAGTTTAAAGCAGGCTTAGGTTATAAAAAAATATCCCAAGCTTTGAACATCTCACAGAGCACTGTTCAATCCATCATCCGAAAATGGAAAGAGTAGCCAAGCAGCCCATGGTAACTTTGGAGGAGCTGCAGAGATCCACAGCTCAGGTGGGAGAATCTGTCCACAGGACAACTATTAGTTGAGCACTCCACAAATCTGGAATTTATGGAAGAGTGGCAAGAAGAAAGATATTGTTGAAAGAAGCCATAGGAAGTCCCGTTTGCAGTTTGTGAGTAGCCATATTGAGGACACAGCAAACATGTGGAAGAAGGTGCTCTGGTCAGATGAGACCAAAATTGAACTTTTTGGGCTAAAATCAAAATTCTATGAGTGATGGAAAACTAACACTGCACATCAACCTGAACACACCATCCCCACTGTGAAACATGGTGATGGCAGCATCATGTTGTTAGGATGCTTTTCTTCAGCAGGGACAGGGAAGCTGGTTAGAGTTGATGGGAAGATGGATGGAGCCAAATACAGGGCAATCTTAGAAGAAAACCTGTTAGAGTCTGCAAAAGACTTGAGACCGGGGCAGAGGTTCACCTTCCAGCAGGACAACGATCCTAAATATACAGCCAGAGCTACAATGGAATGGTTTAGGTCAAAGCATATTCATGTGTTAGAATGGCCCAGTCAAAGTGCAGACCTAAATCCAAGTGAGAATCTGTGACAAAACTTGAAAATTGCTGTTCACAGACACTCTCCATCCAATCTGACAGAGATTGAGCTATTTTGCAAAGAAGAATGGGCACAAATTTCCCTCTCTAGATGTGCAAAGCTGGTAGAGACATCCCCAAAAAGACCTTCAGCTGTAATTGCATTGAAAGGTGGTTCTACAAAGTAATGACTCGGGGGGATGAATACAAATACTCACCACACTTTTCAGCTATTTATTTCTAAAACATTTTGGAAACCATTTATCATTTTCCTTCCACTTCACAATTATGTGCCACTTTGTGTTGGTCTATCACATAAAATCCCAATAAAATACATTTACGTTTTTGGTTGTAACATTAGAAAATGAGGAAAATGTCAAGGGGTATGAATACTTTTTCAAGGCACTGTGCTATAGTAAGCAGTGGCGGGACAAAGTCATCCAGCACCCAGGGCAAAAATGCCAAACTGTGACCCCCTTTTCCATTCGTGATGTGCGAGTTTAGGGGATCGCTTTAGGGGTGCAAAACCTGCATTTCTTCCTGGCTCTCTCCTTGCTGCTCCCAGAGCTAGGCTGACAGGAGTAGTGATGCCGCTACTATTTGTCCTGTTTACCATCATTAAAAGTGAAAGTAAAATAAAACCCCAATTTTTGAGTTGTCCCCAGAAAAGTAATAGAGGGCAAATGTTTTAGTGAGGACACTGGTTTTCAGCTGCCTCTCTTTTCCCTGTAGAAGGGCTGGAGAAGAGGAAGAGATGCGCAATTTCTACTTAACTGCAGCAGAGGTCTTCTGTGCTGTGCTGCAGAACTGTGTAAATCTCAGAAATGGATGGATAAAATACAACTCATTAAAACAATTTCCTTATATGTATTTCATTTGTGTGTTTAGCTGTTTTCTTGGAGTTCAGGTTTTATGGATGCAGTTTATAATTCTATCAATAGTTAAAAGTTTCTTACCAATGGAACAGTCGTCTCCAACAAAGCCTGCATTACAAACGCAGACACCATTAATGCAGCGGCCATTTGGTCGACAGTCAACTGCGCATTTTTTTTCTTTGCAGTCTACTCCGGTGTATCCCTCTGCACACTGGCATACTCCATCAACGCATTTACCATGTGGACTGCAGTCAACGGAACACTTCTTCTTTCTGCAGGCAGGACCTGAGTATGGCTCATTGCAAACACAGGCACCATTTACGCATTTTCCAAACTTGCCACAGTCATATGCACACTTTTTAGTGCCACAGTTGTCACCAGTGAAGCCCTCTGTACACTGGCAGACACCGTCAATACACACACCATTTCCACCACAGTTGCCTGGGCAGCCTCTTGTGGAACAGTCGGGTCCTTCCCAGCCTCCAACACACTGGCAGACACCGTCAATACACACTCCATTTCCACCACAGTTGCCTGGGCAGCCTCTGTTGGAACAGTCGGGTCCTTCCCAGCCTCCAACACACTGGCAGACACCGTCAATACACACTCCATTTCCACCACAGTTGCCTGGGCAGCCTCTTTTGGAACAGTCGGGTCCTTCCCAGCCTCCATCACACTGGCAGATTCCCAATTCAGGTACGTACTTTCCTTTCCCATTGCATTTGTCTGAAAAACATGGATGGAACATGAGGTTAAAGGAATACTAGGGCTCTCTTGACTTTATTGTATTTATTGTATTTTTTAAACGGACTCTGTAAGCTGTACTATAAAAAAGGCAGCCAGAGGGCACAGGACTAGTGCCCGGTATTGCCTGTGGTCTCCCAGCAGCTGATCTTTTCCCTATTACTGACCCACAATGCTTTGTTCAACAATTTAAGGGCAATTCAATAAAGCATTTGTGATGCTTTTCTGGCAGTATGGCTGTGTTAGAAAGGCCTGTGGCAAATTTATATTATGACCTATAGTCAGTAGGCACACTGAGAATTTTACAACATGAGGAAAATTGCATTAGGCATAGAGAGTTAATTTCAGTGCAGGCCAAGATGCTGAAAACCTCTGAGAGCAATGTATCTACCCTGCTAAGACAGCGGAAAAAAATTCTTACTAGAAAGGAGAGAAACAGCGGCACCAGTGTGGGTGTAGATCAGGGGTGGGCAAACTTTTTGACTTGAGGGCCGCAATGGGTTCATATATTGGACCCGGGGGCCGGACCAAGAGTAGATGAATGATGTGTATGTGTCATCCATAGTAAGTATAGTAATATTCCCCCATAGTAATCATAGTAATTAATCCCCCATATAGTAATTCATCCCCCATAGTAATTCATCCCCTATAGTAATTCATCCCCCATATAGTAATTCATCCCCCATAGTAATTCATCCCCCATATAGTAATTCATCCCCCATATAGTAATTCATCCCCCATAGTAATTCATCCCCCATATAGTAATTCATCCCCCATAGTAATTCATCCCCCATATAGTAATTCATCCCCCATAGTAATTCATCCCCCATAGTAATTCATCCCCCATATAGTAATTCATCCCCCATATAGTAATTCATCCCCCATATAGTAATTCATCCCCTATATAGTAATTCATCCCTCATAGTAATTCATCCCCCATATAGTAATTCATCCCCCATAGTAATTCATCCCCCATAGTAATTCATCCCCCATAGTAATTCATCCCCCATATAGTAATTCATCCCCCATAGTAATTCATCCCCCATATTAATTCATCCCCCATATAGTAATTCATCCCCCATATAGTAATTCATCCCCCATATTAATTCATCCCCCATAGTAATTCATCCCCCCTATAGTAATTCATCCCCCATAGTAATTCATCCCCCATATAGTAATTCATCCCCCCTATAGTAATTCATTCCCCATATTAAGTCCCCAAGTCCCCCCTGTGTCAATTCACTTACCTTTGCTCCGCGCGTTCCTCTCGCCGTCTTCCCGCGCCGTTCCGGTGTAGCATGAAAATCTGTCTCCTATGAGGATCTGTCCCCCTCGACGTATCTGCGCATGTGCCAGTTTCAGGCATTAGCAGCCGATCGGCGATCTCCGGCACATGCACAGATACGTCGAGGGGGACAGATCCTCATAGGAGACAGATTTTTCATGCTACACCAGTCTTCAGGGCGGACTGTGAGAGGAGCCTAGCGGGAGCCTAGCTCCGCGGGCCGGATTAAAAGGTCCGCCGGGCCGTATACGGCCCGCGGGCCGTAGTTTGCCCATTGCTGGTGTAGATTATTGTAAAATTGAATTTATTAAACGTAATAAACTCACAAAGGTCAGATGTGAAAGCACATAGAAAAACTCCCAGTGGTGCAGGTCAGGAAGCATCAGGGGCGGACTGACCATTCGAGCACTCAAGCACTGCCCGAGGGCCCGGGGTCAGTAGGGGGCCCCATGAGATGCCCCTGGTACTTTTCATAGGTTTTTTTTTGGGTGTGGTTTGAGTGTGAGCAAGGACGTAGGGGCCCCATGATCTCTTATTGCCCGGGGGCCCCATGAGTTGTCAGTCAGCCCCTGGGAAGCATGGTTTCAATTTCCAGTGACATCAGAGCTGTCAGTTCTCCCGTGTCTCTCCACTATCCCTGGAGCTCTGGGATCCACCAGCGCGGCTGGGACTAGATGGAATACATGGTGGAGACACAGGAGAACTGACAGCTCTGACGTCACCGGAAACCAGAAGCATGGTGCCTGTGTGCGTTCAGAGGCCTGAAGAAGGAGCGCCCATTCTCCAAAAGCGAGCCACTGGCAGCTTCCTGACCTGCACCACTGGGAGTTTTTCACTGTTACATGCGCTTTCACATCTGACCTTTGTGAGTTTATTACTTTTATTAAATTTGGTTTTACAATAATCTGAATTTAGACTGGTGCCGCTGTGTCTCTCTTTTCTTGTCTGCTGGAGCTGCTTCTCTGGCTGCCGGTCCACCACAAGTATGTTCGGAATTCATTACACTAGGATCCTTTCCAAGCTTATGGACTTTTATAAGGATTTTAGTGTCCGTTTGTGACACAGAGAATAACTGCGATTCAACGGATCTCAGCTATTCTCTGGTCATTCACAGTTTATGACACTCAGGAGATCATGTCAGCCCTTCACTGGAGATCTGTGTTCTCCCTCCAGATTCTCCAGCCCAGAGCTGGAGAATCGGAGGGACCGCAAACTAAGCAGAGATAATTTACCTCTGCTTAGTAAACTGATCTTTTACTGTAATCTCGCGAGATTATAGTAAAATCAGCCATTTTCCAGAGTTAGTAGACCGTTTTCCAGCGTTTGGAGACCGTTCTCCCTTCGTTCGGAGAACTGCTTCATAAACTGCATTCACAGGAGAACTGAGTTCTCTGAGAATGCCGGAGAACTGAGCAGCGATCATTTACCGCTGGTTCATAAACGGACACCTATGTGTCTTTTTGTGAACCCCTGAACTAATTCCTAGTGCTCCCCACCCCCAGTTATAAATAAATTCTTACTGTACAGCCTGTAAAGGGGTAAAGTAGGCTGGCCATACACTATAAAATTTTCTGTCCATTTCCTTTAGATTTAACTTCAACTATGTAGCGCAAGGGCCTACCTAGTTGGATACAACTGAAAATGCTGTTTAGGTTTGACCTCATATTATATGGTTTTTGGTAAATCTAAAGCAAAATTCTCAAGCAAATTGTATAATGTATGGCCAGCTTTAGAAATGTCACAGGGGCTTGCAGGGTCAGTGTCAACAGCACCCTCTGCAATCCTTGTTAATAAATTGATAGATATGTGTTATTTTTACATGCACACAGATTTTCTGTGTTTAAATTGCACCGTCAGCCAACCTTATGGGGTCCCCTTTCACACCCAGGCCCCATAGTAGCTGCGTGGGCTGCTATGACTATTGTTACGCCACTGCAAACAGATTTATCTACAAAGTGATATTTGTTCTGCCTTTTATAGAGATGCATCATTATGTAGTTCAGAGTACATTTTCAAGTTCTCTGCAGGCTATTTTAAATGGTCGTTTTATTGTGCTATGCCTTCAGCCCAGAAAAAAAAATGAACAAAAAATACTTTGAAAATTTCTACCTATATGTGCTTCATTTTTCAGTTCATTATCTAAAAATATAATAATATTTACGTTTGCCTATTGTGAATACAATTTCTCTGAAATATTCAAATCCATTGGCAGGTTAACTGAAGTAATTGTGAGATAAGCATGAAAGAGAGGAGGAACAAGTGTAGATAATTACAACGTATCGCTAACACCTGTAATTTAAGTATGTCCAAGATTCTTTTGCTTAATCAAGCAACTACTGCTGGGGTGGGGGGGGGTGAATGAGGTCAGTTAAACTGCTCAATAAAATCTATTAAATTCCATCTGTTCCTTTTCTGACTTGAAAGACTTATAAGAAAAACACACATATCTTTAATTACATCTTGTACAATACCAGTTTAGTTGGTAAATTCAGCAACTCAAATGGAGTTTTGTTTAGTATCAGTATTGGTGGTAGACATGAATTTGCTACACAAGTTTATTTGTTGAATTTTTATTGTTACAGATAAAAGAAAAATGTTAGAGCTAATAATGCATTATCTATCAGTTCAAAGAGGGATTTAATGCGAGTGTCTGAAAGATTTATTTAGCCATACAAATAAGTTTGCTCTGCTTTCCTCTAGGCTGTTTTTTTTTTCTGGTCCAAAATGCCATCTTGTGGTTTGTTGTAATATTGCATGTGAATAGAGTGGACTGTATTCAGAATAATACATTGTGAATCACTGCAGGCAGCATTTGATGTTCATTAGGAAGAGAAGCCAAGTACTCCAAGGTTAGCAGGGAGATCGTAATCAAGCTCTGGCTATTCTGTAGTATTCCTTTTATCAACACTGCAGTAACAAAATAAAATATTAAACCCTGGATTAAAGCATTGCCTTATCATTGTAGGGTTGCCATCTCATTCCTTTAAAACCGAACACATATTAATGACACAGGTTCTGGGGCTGATTAAGGTGGTAATTAAACTCACTTGGTGCCTTATCTGCAATAAATTAGCCTCAGAACCTGTGTAATTAATAGAGTTATGCAGGCCATAGATGTGGAGAAATCCGGCCGATTTTTCTTTAAAAAAACGAAAAATCGGTCGTTCAATCGGCCGACGTTACCAGGAACGGTAAAAAAATCGTCCGATTTTCATCCCGTCTACAGCCGGCAAAAAGTGTCTCTGCAGAGAGCTCTGCTATTTCTTTGACAGTTCTTTGACATTTATAGCGGCTGCAACATTGTATCTATTTGTATCCATTTCGGATACAGATGTTTTTATTTGTAAACAAATAGATACAATGTTGCAGCCGCTATAACTATCAAAGAACTGTCAAAGAAATAGCGGAGCTCTCTGCAGGGACACTTTTTGCTGGACTGGAATTCTTCTTCTTCATCCTCTGCTTCTTCTTCATCCTCTTCTTCTTCATCCTCTTCATCTTCTTCTTCTTCCTCTTCTTCTTCTTCTTCATCCTCTTCATCTTCTTCATCCTCTTCTTCTTCATCCTCTTCATCTTCTTCTTCTTCCTCTTCT